CAAGTGGCCCCAAACTCCATAACTCTGGGTGACCTTCCCAGCAATCTCTGGAGACAAGAGGCCACGTTGAAGGACAGCAGAAGTCAATTGTCTCCTCTATTGAACTATCTTCCCCAGCATCACTTTCTACATCCTCACAGTGGATTGAGGATTCTTCCTTCCCTTGCGGCCCTTTATTCATTTTTTTCATTGCGGCTGCGGACTGTCGGGATGCTTCGGTTGCAGCGCTTCTTCCATAGCCTCTTGGAAAGTTATCCTGGGCTTAGCAAGTAGTTGGCTTTGCAGGGTGAGATCCCTCAGTCCCAAGACCAACCGATCTCTCATTGCTTCGTCCAGGTTGGAGAATTCACAAGCGGTGGCTATTTTGGGTAAAGTTGCCACAACTTCGCTTATTGATTCTCCCTCCCTTTGGTCTCTCCTGTAGAACTCGTGCCGTCTCACAAGGGATGAGGCTTGGGGTGCGTAGTGTGCTTTCAGGATGCCCTGGAGTGTCGGCCAGATCATAGTTCTCAGTTCTGCCGGACAGGCTAAAGCTTTCGCCATTTTAAAAACAGCGGCTCCACAGTGCGAGAGGAATAGCGCCCTTTTCCTCTGTTCCGACAGGCTCAGCAAGACGTTTGCTTCCAAGAACATGTGGAATCGCTCCATGTACGATTCCCAGTCTTCTCCCGCCAGGTTGAACGGTGTGGGTGGAATTATTGAAGATATCTTGCGCTGGCCATTGTATTTTCGATGGCCATTGATTGCCACGTGGAGGTTTCAGCAGCCTAGTGTCCTATTGTCCTTCTGAGATCCCACCTTCATCGCCAGTGTTGAGTAGACAGAGGAGGCAGGACACGTTCGGCAGTTTAAATAGCTTTATTCGGCTCCCGTACAGCAATGACAATGTGAGCCGCGGCAGCCCCTTTTTAAACAGAGCTGTCCGCGGCTTCAGCCACTGACGTGGCTTTAATTTTCCCGCTCCAGCTACTCACTCCTGAGTAGCCTGACTGTTCTTCAGCTAGAATGTTATTTCTCATTATCCAGTCCTCTAATTTATGAAGCAAATGCTTAGCATAAATTTTTGCTGAAATATCGATTAGACTAATTAATCGGAAATTATCTGGGTTATCTCTAGAGCCTTTTTTATGTAAGGGTGATGAATGCCAACTGATGAATGCCAACTGGCAGGAATTTGCCCTGTTCTATTGATAAAAGTAAAGAGACCCGCCAGGACAGGCGCCCACCAGGCTGTGTTGTCTTTAAATAAGGATGCCGGGAGCGCATTCTGTCCTGGAGCTTTGTTTGTCTTCAGGGAGGAGATTAAACGCCTCACCTCCGTGATTGACACTTCTTCCCACTGGGGTAAGGCTTCATATTCCAGTATCAAGCTCGGAGAGGATATAGCCTCATCAGAGTTTTCCGCTGCTGCTGGAGCGGCCAAATGCTTCTCCCAACTTTCTGCACTAATGTTTGGGTCACTTATTGGTTTTCTATCTCTAATAATTTTTGAGACCTCCAACCAGAATACTGTGGGAGAGGCCAGCTTTCCTGCCTGTTCTAGGCCAGCCCATAAATTGTCAATATAGGAGGCCTTTTTCCTCTTCAATAGCTGCTTATATTTCTGCCTTATGGTAATATACTCCTTCTGTAATTCCATGTTTGGGCTGATTAAGTATCTCCTAAGTGATTTCCTAAGCTGTTTTTTCTTTTCCTTACAGTCGTTATCAAACCATGTTGAGTAACTAGAATCAGACGGGCCGATTGGCTTGGTAGTCATGGAAAAATGCTTCATTTTATGGCATATTTCCTCAAAATATACTATAAGTTCTTGTTCACCCGTACTGTTTGAGCATATATGCGCTAAGGCTTCCATAGGTGGTGAATTCATGAATTCAGTCACTGCTTTGCTATCAACCCTCTTCCATGTCAGTCTTCTCTCATGGGCTATTTCTAAGTTGAAGCCTATTTGTTGGATTGTTTGATTCCTTTTCCTTAAGTCGGAAGGGATTGCCAGGGACGTCTCAATCGGAAGATGATCACTTTCTGGCCTTGGTAGCGTCAAGACCGAAGTTGCCCCTGATACGAAGCTGTGAGAAACACAAAAGTAATCAATAGAGCGACATGCCTTGGGGCCAAAAAAGGTTATGGGGTACCTTCTGAGCTCCGAATACTGGCCTACAATTTGAAGGCTACAGTTGTATACCATTGTTAGAAATTTCCCCCCATCTTTGTTCTTTTTCTTATCTTGGGAGACCCATGATTGTTGGTTATGTAAATATCCATCTGGAATTGTACCATTTTCAATAAAAGGTTCCAACGAGGGACCCACACGCGTGTTAAAGCAGGGGTGAAATCTAAAATTTGTTACTACCGGTTCTGTGAGCGTGGCTTGGTGGGGGTGGGGGTGGGGGGTAATGTGACTGGGTGGGCGTGGCCAATTTTTTTTTTTTTACTTTTAAAACCATTTTTTACATGTAAAACCATGTAAAAAAAATGCTTTCAAAAGGCTCTGACGATCCCAGCTGAGTTGTCTGATCGGCAGGCAACTCAGCTGGGACCGTCAGAGCTTGGATTGTCAGAGCTTGGCTCATCAGAGCCATTTAAAAGGAAAAAAAGGCTCTGAGGATCGCGCGGCTCAGCTGGGCATGGGGGGCGGGGGCAGGGATTTTTGCTACCGGTTCTCCAAACTGCCCGCCGCCATCGCTACCTACTCGCCTGAGCCGGTCCGAACCGGGAGCATTTCACACCTGCAGTAAAGTCGGTGAAATGGGGTTTGTTTCATGACTGCAGGATTCACTCAATAACCCCAGTGATTCGCTTAACAACAGTGGTAATAAACATTGACTACCTGTAGGACGCAGGAGCAGGCTGATTTGGAAAAGCTTAAGGAAGACTGGATTTAAGCAGGGTTGGGAGACCACCAGGAAATGCCAGGGGTAGGTTGAGGAGAAGGCAGTGGCCAACCTATCTTGCTATCAAGAAAATTAGGTGGGGGGGGGGCTTTAATGACTTTGAACCAATCAGTAAGTGACTCTGAGTTCTAATCCTGCCTTCAGCATCAAAGGCAGCTGGGGGCTTTGAGCCAATCACCTGGAGGCTCTGATTTCAATTCCCAGGGCCCAGCTAGGACTTCAGGGCCAGACTCTATGCTGCCCCCTACAGGCAGTGAGTCTTAGCTGAACCCTGGCAAGAGGGAGGGGCTGTGATGGGGGAGGGGCTCTCTGTGTCCAGGAGTTTCTCTCCTTTGCTCTCGGATGGGGCTGCTCTACCCCAGAAAGACCCGGGGGGGGGAGGGGTTGAAGGGTCCTGCTGGAAGACGAGGCGGCAGTGGTGACCAGCAGGGCCTTTGCCCAAAATCCGCCCTGCCTTAACATTGACAATGGTTAAGGCATCAGGCTAGGAAGCAAGAGATCCTGAGTTCAAGTCCTGCCTTAGCCCTGAAAGCCTGTTTGCTGACCTCGGGAGAGACACTCTCTTTCAGACAAGCCCACCTCACAGGGCGATTGTTGTGGGGAAAATAGGAGGAAGAAGAAGAGTTGGACATGTTCACCTCCTTTAGTTATTTGCAAAAATAATAAATCAATGAAAATAAAATCTAACAAAAATAAAAACTGGCTTTCCTGCTTCTGTTTGCATGGAATCTGTCACAGCCTTGTGCAGATACAGGAATTTCTCTTCTCACAAGGAGGAAGAGTTTTTTTTTTTAATCATCCCTTCCAATTTCACTCACTCCCTTTTTTTGCAGTTTGGGGGCACCAGTGGGGGCATCGGACCCCCTCCCAGCCCTGGGACACAGCAGGTTTCTCTGTTTCTTTGGGAAAGATTCCTTCCCCACTCAGAGTCTCCTGGAGCCCCATCATCCACTTCCCTCCCTGCCTGGGATCAGCTGAATTCCTCCATTCAGACAACAGGAAAAGGGGAGTTTGCACAGAGCCTCTGGGTCAGCCTCCATTCTTCCACATGGAAAGGTCACTCTGACCCCTCCCCCCCAAAGCCAAATTCACCTCGGTTTCTGGACACCTCCAGACATCGCTCGGCTGAGCTCACAGCAGGGCCAGGGCGGCTGAGAATTGAGATGGAAGGGACCACAAACACCCCACAAACCTTTCCAGACACAAGAGACTCTTGGACACAGACTGTGGTCTCACACACATTCCTAAACGGTGCCTTTATGTGGCAGTGGGAAGGGATATGGGCTCAATCTTACAACACTCATCCTGTAGGGCTGCCCCATCAGTTGTCCCTGGTGGCAGATGGAAGATTGTGAATCCCACTCCTGACACCAGTTTCTGTGGAATCAAACACAGGAGCCAAAAAACCAATAATCCAGGTTCACTGCAGTTGTGATTTATTTAGCGTCCATTGGAGGAATTTTGCTCCATAAAATAGTGGGAGGAAATATTTACAGACAAAAGGATGCACTCATATTTATACATTTCAGGAAAGGAAGAGAAAATGATAATCATACATATTTCATTTAATAGATGATGTAAGCATGAATATTCAGAATTAGCAAGACTCAAGTTACCTCCCCAGCCTTGTATTGTTGCTACCCTCAAGAAAGAATTATTGTGTAAACAAAAAGAAACGTCTCAATTGCATTGCCACAGCAGTTTGGGTGAAATGTACTGAGAAATGAGGGCATCAACATTGCTCCATACAAGCCTTCTATATTTCTGTCTTGCTAACATGCTCTCATTTCTCCAAGAAATTTGTCTCCTCATAATCTTCCACACACCCTTTATTTATTTCAAGAAAAATAGTTGGCCCCCTCATGCATGGAGAAGAGCTTGGACCATTTTCTATGTTTGAACTGTGGAAAATGTTAAAGGTTGAAATTCCTCATTCTCACATTAACAGATTTCTTCTGGCTGTAAGCTGCTCCTTTGTGAAGAATTCAATAATTTCCAAATTTGAAACATACTGTATACATATGATTTTCTTTGACTCCTGCATACTATCTAAATGGAAAGAATATCTCCTTACAAATTCTTCCACTATCATAATGGTGTTAGATCTCATGTTTTTACATTTGTTCTGGCTGCAAGATATTCCTTTGTGTTGAGGTCTGGCCTCAGAAGGATAATGTAGCACTTGGGGATGAAGATGCAGCCCAGCAGACCAGCACTGGAGGCCAGGATGGAGAAGACCTGCACAGCCACCATGGATTTCCCTTTGGTGCTCAGGTAGGTGGGCACAAAAGTCACCCAGACACTGCAGAAGACCAGCATGCTGAAGGTGATCAGCTTGGCTTCGTTGAAGGCCCCAGGCAGGTTCCTGGCCAGGAAAGCCACTGTGAAGCAGATGGCAGCCAGGAAGCCCATGTAGCTGAGGGTGACGTAGAACATGACAACGGCCCCTTCGTTGCATTGCAGGATGATCTCTCCAGGCTGGGAGTGGAGGTCAGAGTCAGGGAAGGGGGGAGAAACTCCCAGCCAGATGGAGCAGATGATAATTTGGACAGAAGAAGAAGAAAGGATGATGGAGTTGGCCAAGCTCTTCCCCAACCATCTCTTCACTCGGTTTCCTGGTTTTGTGGCCAGGAAGGCCAGCACCACCGTGATGGTTTTGGCCAAGAGAGAAGAAACGGCCACTGAGAAGATGATGCTGAAAACCGTTTGTCGGAGAAGGCAGGTGGCTTTCCTTGGTTGACCAATGAAGAGAGAAGGAGACAAGAAGCAAAGCAGGAGGGAGACCAGGAGGATGTAGGAGAGGTCCCGGTTGTTGGCTTTGACAAGGGGAGTTTCTCTGTATTGAATGAAGGTGACTAAAACAAGGCCTGTGGTTAGGAACAAGAATAGGGCAAAAGAGACCAGGATGATGCCCAGAAGTTCTTCATAAGACAGGAAGGTTATGACTTTGGGGATACATTGGACTCTGTCCTCATTTGGATATTTATCATCTGGACATTTGGTGCATTTTTCTGTATCTGAGAAAGCCAAAAAGCAATATTTCTTTAATATACTGGTTTTTTTACATGTTAAGAAATATCTTCTTTGGATCACAGCATGGGCATTTTCCAAGAAGTATTTCTTAACGATTTCATTAAAAAGAGCATAAGAAGGGTATTTTTTTTATTGAAAAATGTAGCTAGGTTAATGAAGGTGAGGGAGGTTCTAGGATGTTAATTATTTCCTGTGTAATGTGTAGAATCTTCATAGGAATCTACATTTTTAGAGGTTAATAATGAATCATATAATCGTTTTAGGCAAACTTCCTGAGTCCTGCCCCATGGCAGTTAATATCCTGGATTTGGAGGATACCTACAGCATCTTGTAACATCTGGAAGCAACCTGGAATTAAGGAGAAACTTCCTATCAGTGAGAGCAATTAACCAGTGGAACAGCTGGCCTCCAGAAGTTGTGGGTGCTTCAACATTGGAGGTTTTTGAGAAGAGACTGGATAGTCACTTGTCTGAAATGCTTGAGCAGGAGGTAGGATTAAAAGACCTCCAAGGTCCTTTCCTGTTCTGATTATTGATTGATTGATTGATTGATCTACATGACTGGCAGACTATTTGTGTAATGAGTTCTCCCCATAACTATCCACAGCACCAGATTATGGACCAGTGACACCTTCTCAGTGATCCTCAAGGGGAGGATCCAATATACAGTGGATTGCAAGATCTTTCAGAAGGTGGACCTAAAACAATTCATCAAGTTTCAAAGAACTTAGATATTCCTAGAAAGGTAAAGTTAGCAGCACATATCCAAAGTAAAAAGCAGAAGAGATATTTCCTAAGCCATCAATAAAGTTTGCCAAGTCTGCCACCCCCTCTTCCCATCTCTTTCCCAGCCCCTCCTTCCAAGTCTTTCTGATTTAATTCTGTTTAGATAAGTAATTGTGCAGGTTAAAAATAAAAAAAAATACAGGTGAGCTTAAACTTGCACTTTTAACTTGCACTTTCATGAAAATGTTCTGGATGGATCCACTTCCTGCAAGGCCTCCCATTTTCCTCTGTGTGACCCACCTTCCTGAGTGGAAAAGGTCCCCTCCGGACAAGGAACGCAGTCATAGCAGCAAACTGGCTCTCCTTCTCGAGCCCTCTTGACAAATCCAGGATGACAACTTTCCACACATTTGGACTGAGGCAGAGACTGAGCAGAAAAACAAGGAATGACAAAGGAAATATGTTAGGACTCTCCATCCATGGAAAATGGGAGGAGAAATGGATGGAGACAAGTAGCCTCTGGTCTTCCCTGAGGTAAATATGAAACCTCTGACGACTCCTAAACAGATGCAGGAGGTAAAACAACTGGCAGATTTTTCCTTTAGTTCCTCCCTTTTGCTTTTGGAATTTAACATTGCAATAAAGTACTTTTCTATTTAATGTGGTCTTGAGGGATGAAATTGGAGAAAAAATTAAGTATGATGATATATTCATCTTAAAACTGAGAACAAAGTTTCAGTTTCAACGTTCAAAGTTGCCCAGTAAGATCTTGAAAGGTTTCCATAAAACATGGCAAAGCCACTCCACTTAGGTCCCGTCTGTTGAAGAGCTTCCATGAGATGACACCACCTGTCATGGAAGGCTAACCACCCTGGAGACTCTGGGCTTTGCCCACTTGAAATGGGACATCAGGCTTTGGAAAACAGAGAAAAGACACCCAAATTTCTCCCACCTTATTGAGCGACTTTAGCCATGGAAGAGCACCTCCTCTGATAGTAAATCTCTGTCTTTTGAAATATGCCAGAGCCTCTGTCCTGGGATATTCCTTGGGGAGAACCAAGGAGGCCTTAATGCCCAGATCTGCTGTTATCTCTCCATTTTGGTCCAAGTACAGTTTCCTCTCAGAGATATTCCAAAATTCATTCTTCTCCAGAAAGGGATGAAACTAGAATGGGAACATCAAAGAAATTGAAAAACAGAGAACTTTGTTTCTTATCCCACATTGAATCTTTCTTCTACAATTGTCTAATCTCCAAATATGGTTAAATAGGATACAAATACTGTCATCATCTTCATAAGTGAACGAGAAAGTTTGAGAAAAATTTGTCAATCATTTACTGACAAAATATAGAAAAAGTATATAATTGATACAATTGATCAATTATAGGGAACATTCTAGAGCAGATGACAAATAAAATGAACAGAGAAAGAAAAAAGATGATTCATAAACTCTTTGAAAACAACAGGTTGATTCCCAGAAAGCATGGGTTGATCAAGAAGAAAGTTGTCAGGCTAATCTTCTCCCTGGTCATCCTGATGGAAAACAAATCCAGATGTGCTAATTCTAATTAATTGTAATGCGACATTAACAAAATGTTGCAGATCTGAAAGAACAAATCTCCCACCAACTCTTTTCTCAGCCTGAAAAGTTAGCCAGGATCCTTTCTGAGTTTCTTTCTCTCCCATTATGCAGCTGCAGGATTCTCCCCTCTTAGCTGATCCTTCCCTAGGCAGCCTCTCTTCCCCTCATCCCAAAAGTCATTCTCACACATCATTGCACTTCCTAAATAGATTATGGGAAGACTGGTGATATCACTGGATTTCAGTAAAGGACTCACAAACAATTTTGTGGTATGATTAGAAACCTGAGGGACGGATGGTATGATAGCTAAGTGGATAAAAACTGTCTTCAAGTTGATACACAAATAATTTTTAACTTAAGTCTTTCAACTTACAAGCCTTATTTGAAACTTCATTTAAAATTTTGATAAAATAACAATGGTTTTAAATCAACTTAAAAGCGATAATCATCTTAATCGTTGATATTCTCCCTATCAATGATAGTTGTAAATTTTCCCATTTTGCCAAATCTGCCACTATCTGTTGTTTGAGTTTATTATAATTGTTCTCTTTGAGTGTGCTACATCTTGCTGTCAGGTATATCCCCAAGTACTTAACCTTATTTGTGACCTGCATATTCAATACTTCCGCCAGTTCTTCTTTTTGTTTTATTAACATGTTTTTTTATCAAAATCTTCATTTTTTCTTTGTTTATTTTCAAACCTGCTACTTTCCCATATTCTCCTATCTTATCTATCAATTTAGTTGTTGATTCTAATGGCTCTTCAAGAATAAAAACCAGGTCATCTGCAAATGCTTGCAATTTGTATTCTTCCTTTTGGATTTTCATTCCTTTTATATCTTTATCTTCTCTAATATTTCTGTTTAGCAATTCTAATGTTAACACAAACAACAGAGGTGACAGTGGACAACCTTGTCTCGTTCCTTTTTTTATTTCAATGGACTCAATTCTCCATTTATCATTACTTTTGCTGTTTGTTTGTTTGTAGTATATGGTTTCTATGGCTTGAATAAATTTTCTACCAAAGCCCAGCTGTTCCAGCTGTAATAGCATAAATCTCCAATTCACATTATCGAAGGCTTTCTGTGCATCTACAAATATCAAAGTCATTTGCTTTTCAGGATGTGCCTCATAATATTCCAAAGTGTTCAAAATTATCCTCATATTGTCTCTAATCTGTCTTTTTGGCAGAAACCCATTTTGATCGGAGTGTATACAATTATTTAGATATCGTTTAAGTCTTTCTGCCAATATTGAAGCCAATATTTTGTAATGTGAATTTAGCAGGGATATAGGCCTATAATTCTTGATTTGTTGTGGGTCAGTATCCTCCTTTGGAACAAGTGTAATATATGCTTCTGACCATGACTTGGGTATTTTCATCTTTAACATGACTTCATTCATGACTTCTAACAGTGGGAGGCTCAACGATTCCTGTAGTGTCTTGTAATATTCCGCTGGCAGTCCATCCGGGCCTGGTGCCTTCCCATTCTTTTGTTTTTTAAGTGCTTCAGTTAATTCTACCATCGTTATATTTCCTTCTAGCATCATTTCGGTGTCTTTTGCAATCTGGGGTAAATTCACCTTCTCCAGGTATCGTTTAACACTTTCCTCTTCTATATTCTCTTGCTCATACAGTTTCCTATAATAATCTTGTATAATTTTTTTCTTCTTTTTATTCCCATATCTAATTTGTCTTTGATCATTCACTAGTTGTGTTATTCTTGATTTTCTCTCTTTTTTCAGTTTGTATGCTAATCATCTATCTGGCTTGTTTGGGTCTTCAAGTAGTACTGTTTAGCCCTTCTAATCTTTTGTGCTAAATCCTCTTTTTCTGTTAACCCCATTTTATGTTTAGTTGTGTCCATTTTTATTTTAATGTCCTTTTTTTGTGGAAATTTCTGTAGTTCTTTTTCAAGTTCCTTATAGTCATCCTCTAGTGTTTTATAAGCTTGTCTTTTCTTAATATTGCTTTTCCTTGTATAGTCTATTATCAGACCTCTAGCATAAGCTTTCATTGTATCCCAAAAGTTTTGTATTGATGTGTCCTCTTTTCTATTTTCTTTTTTTAAAAAGCCAATTCTTTCTCCATTTTCTGTACAAAATCCTTTTCTTTTAATACTGTATTATTTAGAGTCCATCTAGATCTTCTCCTTTGTCCTTTCCATTTCATTGTCATTGGGTTGTGATCTGCCCAGGTTTTAGCTTCTAAGTCAATTCCATTGTCATCCATATCATATCTATTCTAGACCATGATGAATGTCTATCAGAATAAAAACTATATTGTCTATTTTTTGCGTTTCTTTCTCTCCATGCATCTTTTAAATTTGTTTCCTCTATCATTTTAAAGAAAGATTTCGGAAGAGTCTTTCTACTTTGCTTTGTTGTCTTCTGTGTGTTGTAATTTAATTTCTCATCTACTATCCCATTGAAATCTCCCATCATACAAATGTTATCATAGTCCAATTCAATTATTTTCATATGTAGTTTTCTATAAAAATCTTCTTGGTTGTCATTTGGAGCATATATTGCTATTAAAAGTATTTTCATATTGTTATCTGTTATTTCAACCATCAAAATTCTTCCATCATCATTTGTATAAATTTGCTCCACTGGAATTGTATCTCTAATATATATAAAAAACTCCTCTTTTCTTACATTGTGCCTATGAAGTAAA